CTCAAATTTTTTTTTGGTCTAATAAAAATACAAGGTACTTCCTACGTAATCCTCCGAACCTCTCAATCTTTAATGAACTTATTCTGATCTTGTGGGACCTAGAAAAATCAAAACAAGTAGGTCAAACCCAAGTATTATCGATTGAGGCCCTAAAAATTAAGTTTCTTTATGCCCTTAAATTATTTTACAGTCTTATAAAATCACAGGGTATCTTCTAAGTTATCCTTTGTCATTTTAATTATTTATTAAACCTATTTTGACCTTGCATGACCTTTAAATTTCAAGAAAAGTATGTCAAACCGAAGGCTAATGGGTTTAGGCCCTCAAAATGAGGTTTATTATGCCGTTAAATATTTTTATGGTCTTATAAAATTACAGAGTATCTTCTCAGTCGTTTTACTTCTCTCTTAATTTTTATTGAGCCTACATTCACCTTGTTTGACCTTGAAAAATCAATAAAACTATGTAAATTGCGAGTAAAATTGATTTAGGCCCAACACATCCGGTTTCTTATGCCCTTAAATGTTTTTTTGTTCTAATAAAACTACAAGGTACCTCCTCAGTAATTCTCCGACCCTCGAAATTTTCGATGGACTTATTCTGACCTTGTAGGACCTAGAAAAATCGAAACAAGTAGGTCAAACCTAAGTATTGTCGATTGAGGCTCTAAAAATCAGTTTTTTTTTATGCCCTTAAATTTATTTATCCTGTTATAAAATCACAGGGTACATTCTGAGTACTTTACCGTCTATTATAATTATTGATGATCCTATTCTGAGCTCGTATGACCCTCACAAATCAATAAAAGTAGGTCTACCACAAGTATTATCGATTAAGGCTCAAAACATCAGGTTTCTTTCTGCCCTCAAATATTTTTTTGGTCTAATAAAAATAAAACGTACCTCCTAAGTAATCCTCCGACCCTCTAAATCTTCGATGAACTTATTCTGACCTTGTAGGACCTAGAAAAATCAAAACAAGTAGGTCAAACCCAAGTATAATCGATCGAGGCCCTAAAAATCAGGTTTCTTTATGCCCTTAAATTATTTTATAGACTTATAAAATTACAGGGTATTTTCTAAGTTATCTCCCGTCCTTCTCATGATTTATTGAACCTATTTTGACCTTGCATGACCTTTAAATTTCAAGAAAATTATGTCAAACCGAATGCTAACGGGTTAAGGCCACAAAAATCAGGTTTTATATGCCGTTAAATATTTTTATGGTCTTATAAAATTACAAGGTATCTTCTCAGTAGTTTTCCTACTCTCTTAATTTATACTGAGCCTATATTCACCTTGTTTGACCTTGAAAAATCAATAAAACTATGTAAATTGCGAGTAAAATTGATTTAGGCCCAACACATCCGGTTTCTTATGCCCTTAAATGTTTTTTTGTTCTAATAAAACTACAAGGTACCTCCTCAGTAATTCTCCGACCCTCGAAATTTTCGATGGACTTATTCTGACCTTGTAGGACCTAGAAAAATCGAAACAAGTAGGTCAAACCTAAGTATTGTCGATTGAGGCTCTAAAAATCAGTTTTTTTTTATGCCCTTAAATTTATTTATCCTGTTATAAAATCACAGGGTACATTCTGAGTACTTTACCGTCTATTATAATTATTGATGATCCTATTCTGAGCTCGTATGACCCTCACAAATCAATAAAAGTAGGTCTACCACAAGTATTATCGATTAAGGCTCAAAACATCAGGTTTCTTTCTGCCCTCAAATATTTTTTTGGTCTAATAAAAATAAAACGTACCTCCTAAGTAATCCTCCGACCCTCTAAATCTTCGATGAACTTATTCTGACCTTGTAGGACCTAGAAAAATCAAAACAAGTAGGTCAAACCCAAGTATAATCGATCGAGGCCCTAAAAATCAGGTTTCTTTATGCCCTTAAATTATTTTATAGACTTATAAAATTACAGGGTATTTTCTAAGTTATCTCCCGTCCTTCTCATGATTTATTGAACCTATTTTGACCTTGCATGACCTTTAAATTTCAAGAAAATTATGTCAAACCGAATGCTAACGGGTTAAGGCCACAAAAATCAGGTTTTATATGCCGTTAAATATTTTTATGGTCTTATAAAATTACAAGGTATCTTCTCAGTAGTTTTCCTACTCTCTTAATTTATACTGAGCCTATATTCACCTTGTTTGACCTTGAAAAATCAATAAAACTAGGTAAATTGCGAGTAAAATTGATTTAGGCCCAACACATCATGTTGTTTATGCCCTCAAATTTTTTTTTGGTCTAATAAAAGAACAAGGTTCATCCTAAGTAATTTTCCGACCCTCTATATTTTCAATGAACTTATCCTGACCTTGTAGGACCTAGAAAAATCAAAACAAGTATGTCAATTACAAGTATTATCGATTGAGGCCCACAATATCAGGTTTTTTCATGCACTTAAATTATTCTTTAGTTTTAAAAATTTACAGGGTACCTCCTGAGTTTTCCTGCGTCCCTCTCAATATTTATTATACCTATTTTGACCTTGCATGACCTTGAAATATTAAGAAAAGTATGTCAATCCAATGGATAATCGATTTAGGCCCAAAAAATCAGGATTCGTGATGCCTTCAAAATTTTGTTATGGCCCTCAAAATTTACAGGGCACCTCCTGTGTCATCTTTCACCCCTCTCAATAGTTAGTGAACCTATTTTGACCTTGTATGACCTTGAAAAATATAAAAGGTAGTTCGAACTCAAGTAAAATAGATTTAGGCCCAAAAAATCAGGTTTCTTATGCCCTCAAATATTTTTATGGTCTTATAAAATTACAGGGTATCTCCTTAGTCGTCATTCCTCCCTTTTATTTTTTCTTGAGCTTTTATTTACCTTGTAGGACCTAGAAAAATCAATAAAAGTAGGTCAAACCCAAGTATTATCGATTGAGGCCCTAAAAATCAGGTTTCTCTATGCCGTTAAATTTTTTTATAGTCTTATTAAATTACAGGGTACCTTCTAAGTTATTGTCCGTCCATCGTCATTCTTGATGAACCTATTCTGAGCTTGTATGACCTTGACAAATCAATAAAAGTAGGTCAAACGTATGTATTATTGATTGAGGCCCTAAAAATCAGGTTTTTTTATGCCCTTAAATTTTTTTATCGTCTTATAAAATTACAGGGTACATAATAAGTTATCCTCCGTCCATCGTAATTCTTGATGAACCTATTCTGAGCTCGTATGACCTTGAAAAATTAATGAATGTAGGTTAAGTTCAAAGAAAATTGACTTAGGCCAAAAAAATCAGGTCTTTTAATGCTCTTAATTTATTTTTTGGCTTTATAAAATTACAAGGTACCTCCTCAGTTATTCTCTGTCCCTCTGAATATTTATTAGAACTATTTTGACCTTGCATGCCCTTGAAATATTAAGATAAGTATGTCAAACCGAAGGATAATGGAGTAAGGCCCAAAAAATAGTGATTTTTGATGTCTTAAAATTTTTTTATGACCCTTCAAAATCACAGGGCACCTCCTGTGTCATTTCCCACCCCTCTTAATATTTAGTGAACCTATTTTCACCTTGAATAACCTTAAATAATATAAAAAGGTAGGTCGAACTTAAGTAAAATTGATTGAGGCCCAAACAATCAGGTTTTTTCTTGCCCTTAAATTATTTATCGTCTTATGAAATCACAGGGTAACTTCTAAGTTATTTCACATCCCTCTCATTATTCATTAAACCAATTTTGACCTTGCATGTCCTTTAAATTTCAAGAAAAGTATGTCAAACCGAAGGATCATTGGTTTAGGCCCAAAAAATCACGTTTTTTGTGCCCTCAAATTTTTTTTTGGACTAATAAAATTACTAGGTATCTCCTGAGTCATTCTCCGACTTTATGAATTTTTGATGAACTTATTCTGACCTTGTAGGACCTAAAAAAATCAATAAACGATATAATATAGTCAGTCAGTCGTTTAGTCTGTCCGAATCTATGTCAAGTCCGAGCTGTCTTGCATCGTAATTAATTGTCTCCTAAGACTCTCATTCTCGTTGCTGTCCCATCTCTTTTTTTCTCTGTTATAGAATCATTAGTATTGCATTTATTGAGTAATATTGTATCAAGCTAGAATCGCTTTTGTAGAGAATTAGATTGTAAAAGAGACTCTCAGGGCCTTTTCGGGTAACTCCCATGCTTTGGGGACGGCCAATAAACATTTAGTACCGTAATTCACGAGTATTCTTCATTCACTGAGCGACCCACACCCTTTATCAACATTTAAGTATTTTTCAGTGAGACGCTGAGCTAGTCCGGAGGTCTGTTTATGTGACAGGTAAATTACCAGGTATAGGCTCACACGTAACAGAAAAATTGGCGCCCAACGTGGTTGTCGCCCAGCTAAGTGAATTGAGTGAAGTGAATTGTACGGAAAATTTAGTGGTGAGTACCTAGAAATCGGAAAATCTGAGAACTCTAAGAAATACCCGGGTATAAAAGGAAGGATTACTGAAGAAAATAAAAGTGAAAGCGAAAAGTGAATTGAAATAGAAAAAGTAAACTGGAATAAAAGAAGATAATTGAAATAAAAACAGTGAATTGAAACAAGAAAAATAAGTGAAATAGGAAAAGTAATCCAGAAAAGAAGAATAAGTGAAAATAGGAAAAGTGAATTGAAACGAGAAAAATAAGTGAAATAGGAAAAGTAACCCAGAAAAGAAGAATAAGCGAGAATAGGAAAAGTGAATTGAAACAAGAAAAATAAGTGAAATAGGAAAAGTAATCCAGAAAAATAAGAATAAGTGAAAATAGGAAAAGTGAATTGAAACAAGAAAAATAAGTGAAATAGAAAAAGTAATCCAGAAAAAGAAGAATAATTGAAAATAGGAAAAGTGAATTGAGATAAGGATTACAGTGAAATAAGAAAATAAATTGAAAAATAGAGTGAGAGTTCAAACAAAGTGCCGCAAAAGATAAGGATTACAGCGAAATAAGGAAATAAAGTGGGAAAAGTGAGAAAGTTCAAATAAGTGTCCCCAGAATCGAGAAATAAAGAAGAAGAAGCATCAAAAACAGAGAAGAGAGACGCAAGCTACGCAGAGGATACGTGAAGGCCAGCAACAAAAGAACGCGTCATCAACAGGGCTCCGAGAAATAGGAAGGTCGGCCAATCATTTAGAAAAGGGCACAAGAGTACAGTAAATGCAGATCACAATTTAACTGAGCATCTTGGCACTCAGGTAAGTCGCAAAAATTGATCTCATAAAAGAATCTGTTGTCGAGGATCGGCAGGCGCGGTTCGACGGGTGGCGCGATAACATATCACGCGACTCTGCCGATAGTTCCGAAAGTTCTAACATTACTACTGACGATCTTTCATTTGACATACTAATACACGAACAGACGTTAGAAGACATTTTTGGGAACGGTGTCCGGGACAGCGAACCAGAAGAAGAATTATCAAGAAAAACAGCGGTGATCATGGAAACAGAAGAAGGCCGGCTGAAGCGCATCATATCGCTTATGAGACACATTCCGGTATTTTCAGGAGAGGGCGATGTTGAACCATTTATCGATGCTATTGAATACTGCACTCCGAAGTTAAAAGCCGAGGATGAAGGAACCTTCATTTTTGAATTAGTGTCCAGACTTTCAGGCGTCGCGGTTGGCAGTAGGAGAACAGTCATGAAAACAGCAGAAACAATTAAAGGGGTCATAGAAAAGTTGCGACAAAATTCTGGGCATACCGAAGACTTCTCCGCAATATTAAATCGGCTAACAAAAATACTGCAGGAAGAGAATGAGAGCACAGCAAAATTCGGGGCACGATTAGAACGTATGAGAAGCCAAGCAGCCAACAAAATTGACAGGTGTAGATCAAGAGAGGACATAGTTCGCCGCAGAGAAAGAGAGCACGCTAGAATCAGGTTGGCATCATACGGGGAAGAGTTACAGGTCGAAGAGTCAATAAAGAAGCCCAACAAGGAGACAATCGGAGAAGAACCACTAGTATTCACCGTTACGAATGATGCAGCCAATATTGACCAAGGTGGCCCAAAATGCTATAGATGCGGAGAGGTAGGACATTTCATACGTAATTGCTCAGTTCAAAACGAAAGACGACAGCAGGTACAGCGAGGATCATACAACCCTCGAGGACAGCTGTATAGAAAAAATAGCCGCGATAACGCTAGTAATTGCGGCAATAGAAGATCATATGGTAATAATTACTACGTCAATAATGATCAAGTCGGTCGAGGATATCAAGGTAACTACAGGGGACAAGAAAGAGGCAACAATTACCAGAACAGAAGAATTCAGGGACAGCAACAACCTGCAGATAGCCGAAGAGATGGATTAATGGGCCTACAGTATCCACAGCAATCATGGCAACAGGATCAATGACCATCTCAAAATCAGCAGCAACAACATAGACAGCCAATATCAAACAGCAACAAATATAGCGACTACCTCAGAAACAGTGGCAGCAATAACCGCATCAGAGACCGCATCAGCAGAATTATTAACAGACTTGGTCAAGAAGGACACCCCTTTTGTATGGAAAGAAGCTCAGAAAAATGCATCCAAAACATTGAAGAGAGAATTATGCGAAGGATTTACGTTACAATATCCCGATCTCAGAAAACCGTTCATCGTCACGACAGATGTGTTAGAATATGCAGTGGGGGCAATATTAAGTCAAGATAAGCTTGGAGAAGATAGAGTGATAAGTTACGCTTCAAGGGCAACGTCATCAGCTGAGCGGAATTACAATGTGATGAAGAAGGAACTACTCGCAATAATGGATGCTATAAAACTATTTAGGCCGAGAACATAGTAAATGAGAAGCTAGAAGAGACAAACAACGTCCGAGAAGAATTGAACGGGTAAGTGAAACGGGCATTAAGAAGAAAGAAAATGATCGACATCGCAAAAGAAGAATTTGAGGAAATCAAGTTTCTACGTCTTCTGTAAGGACACCATCTAGATAGAGGGATGAACTATCTAGAAATAAAGGACCTGGGTAAAAATACCAGGGCATGAAACGATACATGAACTAGCTATAAAGGTGATGTAATCAGAAATTATTATTAAATCTTACTATTATAAATTTTAATACGAAATCATAGAACCTAAGATATCAAAAAAATATGGTATTACACATATATTTTTTCCTTTTGTTTGACTGGAAGGTAATCACTTAACCAAAACTATGATAATAAAGCATGCTCATTAGAAATACTACTCTTCGTATCTGTTATCTTCCATTTCTCACTCTAAAAATCCGGCCGGTAATTCTTTCACATAAAAATAACAATAACTTTTTGAGCTTATACTAAAATAAGACTACGCTAACTAACGCAATCGGTAATGTGATTCCTTTCAGAACAGGAAATCGATTTAAAGATGTACACACATACGTATACATATATATGTGTGAAAATTTTTCTCCCATAGGAGAGGTAAAAACAACGACTGAGTACAAAGGGGAATAAAAGGAGAGATTTTGCATTAAAATCGGGATTTAGTACTTAGAATAAATTTTTTTTTCTTTTGTAGCTATACATAAGGGTCAGCAATGAGATCTGACTTCAAAATAGTAATATGTTGAAAATTACTAATTTAGCAGCGAGAATCCCTACTGACCCATATTTAAAAGATTGAAATTCTGTAAATGATAAATTTGTGGGAATTGGGGGGTTAGCAAATAAAACCTGACTTTAGAATAATTAGATAGCGTAGATAAATAATTTAATAGTGAGAATTTTCGCGATCTCAGATATTTTTATTATTCCGTTGTTTTTCGGGAACCCGAATGTTATACGGTATCGATATTACGTAGACATATAAAGGAAACGAAAATAAATTCCTTTTTCTTTAATAATAAATGATACGGGTAACAGTTAGACCAAAAAAAAAAAAAGAAGGAGATTAGAGTCATAATAATAACAATAAAAGATTGGGAAATCCAAATGAGCATGCCTTGGGCGCTCATGTCATACATAAATTATTTACATCATAACAAAATTTGTTCGTTTTAATTTGAATTTTCCCGCGAGTAGTATTATTCCCTTCTGCTGTTGATAGTTGTTTCAATTCTGTTTATGGAAGGTGATATATATGGCTGCCAAAATCGCAAAAAAATTCACCGAACTGGCAATCGAGGGGAATTAACTGTATCGAAACGGAATTGTTTTGACGCGTAATTTTTACGAGGTTTTTGATAAACTTTGTCAGGAATAAAACAAAAAAAAAATTTTTTCCGTGAAAGTGATTTTTGACAAAGTTGTGGTGTTGTCAAGCCTATAGCTCCCGTGAATGACACGCTCTTATCCATTTAATTCATCAGAAAAATGAGTTTTTTGAGAAATCTTATTTAATCGATAAGAGAGTTTTTTGGCGTGTTCTGTAGTTACTGTTATTTATTTCAATATGCTTTTTAAATCGAAATCACGATTTTTGGGCGAGTTATGAGCATGCCTGCGCGCTTCGCGCTTAAGGCATGCAAAATAATACTAATATTATTAAAAATAAAAATTAAAAAGATGCGATTAGGTTGTGTGGTAGATACCACCCAGAACTGTGAGTAAAGAAAAAAAAAATAAAAGAAACTAAAACTAATTAATTACAAACTAAGCAAAAATAGTAATAGAAAGAAAACTATGTCCGAATACTCGGTTAGGAAAGCTCAATTTTTCGAGATAACTCCGAAAATGATTACTGGACAGAAATTTTTATGAATCCTAAAAGTTTCTATTCTTGAACGCGAACTATTTAATATCAATATCATTTAATTCACGTAAATTGATCTAGAGATATAAAGTAAGATAGGAAAAAGTTCATTTTCCGAAATAACTCCGGACAACTTCATCAGACAAAAATTTTAGCAATACCTAAAATACTCTATTTTTAAATGCGAGTTATTTGACACTAGAATCATTCGATTCGGGCAATTTGATCGGAAGATATGAATAAAATTCCACATGAGGCAAAATTATTTAAGAACGGATGCGCGTTGCAAGCTGCGCATTAGTATCTCTCCTTTCATAGTATATAATACGAAAAAAAAATAAGTAAAATATTTAAAAAAAAAAAAGAATATTATTGTATAAAATTCATACACTTCAGATGATTCTCTCGAGCTTTACGACCGATTCGTATTATTGCCCAATCAAATAATATTTTTAAGAACATTAATTAAATGATAAAAAAATCATTTGTATTAACGACGATAATAATTTAAAGAGAAAAAAACTTTAAATGACTCACAAGAGTTTTGATGCATATAGACCGGACACTGCATTTTTTTACAAACAATGATTTGAGAAATATTTTTTTATATATATAAAGCATTTCACAATTCAATTTTTGTTGTTTGCCCTCTTTTTATCAGTGAACTATTTAAATAACAAAAATAAAATAGTTGATAAAATTTTTTTTTAAGAATTCTAGTAGAATGAATACTATCAAAAACACGTAATAGTGAAAATTAATTTTAAATATCTACTACACTAGGAAAATACTACACAAATTCAATTAATAAGTATGGCAGTTGAGAAAATCAACGACTAAAATTTTGTTTTTCCGAGTAACTAAAATGTAGGAAATTTATTATTGAATTCGATTGCAGGCATTCACAGTGAAAAATGCGTGTTACTTACGAAACAGATAACGAAACGGGGACACTAGATGAAAAAAAAAAAAATTTTTTTTCTTAAACACTTTTGCACAAAGAACTTTTTTTTTCTCACTGTGAAAATGTCACCTTCTTTATATCCATTAAAATTTTTAATAACAACAACAATAAAAAATTAATAAAAGATTTGTAGCGCTCGAAGCACGTTTTAATAATTATTGTGTTCACTCACACATCTGTTTATTTGTGTCATTTAAAACATTGAAGTACGTAAATTACAATCAAATGGTACATAAAGACCATAATGTAATAAATAGAATTAATTAGAAAATGTATTCAAGTAAATAATTAAGAGAAGATAAGTGTAGCAACGGTTTAATAAATTAATCGTTGAGGTATAAATGTGTAAAATAATAATAACAGTAATAATATTAATAACAATAATCAGTGGGTGTTATTTGAATTGATAATTTTATTTTATAAATTAATAGTAGTTTAATTTCTATAAAATTGATTACATTTTCACCGCAAAAGTATGTCAATCCGAAGGATAATGAATTTGGGCACAAAAATTCAGGTTTCATTATGCCCTCTGTGACGGGTGGGCCAACCTTCCCGTCAATATTATGATAAATCATATATATTTCTATAAATCGATGGGCCATTTTGCCCACCTGAATTAGACACCGAATTTCCGTTGTCCTTCTAGACTAACTCTGGTTACCGAGAGTCGCTACTTGCACGTGGTGCTGATGAGACGCTTTCTTATGGGAACCGAGCGAACAGGTACTCTAATACAGGGAACTGCTTTCGGCGCTTTAATACCTTTTTCTGCTGACTAAGGAACTTGACAATAACCACCTAGTGCCCGAAGGCGGAATAATCATAGTTCATTCGCGGGATAATATAAGTTCAGCGCAGTAATACAGGTGTCCGTCGGCATCCGCGACCGAGGTGGCACAAACCTGCAACCTCGAGGATGAGCGGCCATTTGTAGTCAGTCAGTCGTTTAGTCTGTCCGAATCTATGTCAAGTCCGAGCTGTCTTGCATCGTAATTAATTATCTCCTAAGACTCTCATTCTCGTTGCTGTCCCATCTCTTTCTCTCTGTTATAGAATCATTAGTATTGCATTTATTGAGTAATATTGTATCAAGCTAGAATCGCTTTTGTAGAGAATTAGATTGTAAAAGATACTCTCAGGGCCTTTTCGGGTAACTCTCATGCTTTGGAGAAGCCCAATAAACAATTAGTACCGTAATTCACGAGTATTCTTCATTCACTGAGCAACCCACACCCTTTATCAACATTTAAGTATTTTTCAGTGAGACGCTGAGCTAGTCCGGAGGTCTGTTTATGTGACAGGTAAATGACCAGGTATAGGCTCACACGTAACACCCTCAAATTCTCTTATGGCCATATAAAATCAGAGGGTAGCTCCTGAGTCATCTTCATTTCCTCTTAATTTTTATCGAGCCTATTTCCACTTTGTATGACCTTGAAAAATGATTGAAAGTAAGTCAAACCCAAGGAAAATTGACTCAGGGCCAAAAAATCCGTTTTTGTTATGAACTTAAATTTTTTTATGCTACGTAGAAATTAAAGGCTACCTTCTAAGACATTTACTGTCTCTCTGAATTTTTATTTAACCTATTTTGACAGTAGATAACCTTTAAAAATTAATGAAAGTAGGTCAAATTGGAGTAAACTTGATTTAGGCCCAAAAAATCAGGTTTTTTAAAGTCCTCAAATCTTTTATTGCTCATATAAAATTAGAGGGTACCTCCTGAGTTATCCTCCGTCCCTCTCAATATTCACTAAACCTATTTTGACCTTGCACAAATTTCAATTATTAAGAAAAGTATGTCAAATTGAAGGATAATGGATTTAGGCCCAAAAAATCAGTATTCTTGATGCCTTAAAATTTTTTCATGCCCCTCAAAAATCACAGGGCACCTCCTGTGTATTCTTCCGACTCTCTCAATATTTAGTAAACCTAGTTTGACCTTGAATGTCATTGAAAAATATAAAAAGGTAGGTCGAACTGAAGAAAAATTGATTGAGGCCAAAAAAAACAGATTTTTTTATGCCATTAAATTATTTTTTAGTCATAAAATTACAGGGTACCTTCTAAGTTATCCCTCGTCCTTCTCATTATTCATTAAACCTATTTAGACTTTGCATGACCTTTTAATTCCAAGAAAAGTATGTCAAACCAAAGGATAATCGGTTTAGGTCCCAAAAATCAGGTTTGTTATGCCGTTAAATATTTTTATGGTCTTATAAAATTACAGAGTATCTTTTCAGTCGTTTTCCTTTACTTTTAATTTTCATTGAGCCTATATTTACCTTGTTTGACCTTGATTAAATCAATAAAACTAGGTAAATTGCGAGTAAAATTGATTCAGGCTCAACACATCAGGTTTTTTATGCCCTCAGATTTTTTTTGGTCTAATAAAAATACAAGGTACCTCCTAAGTAATTCTCCGACCCTCTGAATTTTCAATAAACTTATCCTGACCTTGTAGGACCTAGAAAAATCAAAACAAGTAGGTCAAACACAAGTATTATCGATAAAGGCTCAAAAAATTAGGTTTCTTTATGCCCTCAAATTTATATATGGCCTCATAAAATTACAGGGTATTTCCTGCGTCATCTTTTCACGCTCGTTATTTTTATTAAGCTTATTTTTAGGTTGTATGACCTTGAAAAATTATTGAATGTAGGTAAAACCCACAGAAAATTGACTTAGGCAAAAAATATCAGGTTCTTTCATGCCCTTATATTATTTTTTGGTTTTATAAAATTACAGGGTAACTCCTGAGTTATCCTGCGTCCCTCTCAATATTTATTATACCTATTTTGACCTTGCATGACCATGAAATATTAAGAAAAGTATGTCAATCCAATAGATAATGAATTAAGGCTGAAAAAATCAGGTTTATTAATGCCCT